AGACAAAATAAACAAAATAAAAATTGTCATATTTAAATTTTGAGAAATTAGTGTAATTGTAACCACTCGGAATCTCAAAATACGAGGGCCAGCCGGGTACACATGCAGGCTGCCCGAGTCTCACGATTGGTGGGCAACCGGCGAGATTTTCCCGCTGGCAAGAATTGAATTTCCCTTCTCAATTTTCGTGCACCGCAGAACCAGGGAAATTCTCTCTGCTATCCAGGGCATCATAATGAGATGGATAATGTCTTTCCGAACATCGGCCTATCGATTGATGTAATTGTCTGGAGTATTTTCAGTTTCTCTATCGAGCAGCCAGAAAGAGCGAACGTTGAGACCCCCACTAAACCCCATTAGGCTGCTCGTGATTTGCATGTGATCGAGCCTCTGATTAGACACTCTCACTTGCTACTTATCCTCCTTGAGCCCCCACTGTCTCGTCCACACTAATTCCTCAACAGCTGCCAGATATGGCTGGATTAGTATTCTTACGCTTCCTGGGAAGCTTTCCAATCCGCCGCCCTTCGTGTCCTGCGGCGGGTTGCTGTTTGCTTTGTTTCCTAGGCGAAGGCCATGGAAGCTGGCCGGTGAGTTAGTTGCCCTGTTCGTTCGTTCCTATATCTTCCACCTGTCCCCTCATTCCTCCTCGCGCTTTTCTTCTCTTTCCAGCTCTCACCGCAGAATTGACCGATCTGACACCTCATTTCTTTTCTTTTGTTTCTTAAGCTCTGCCCTCGCGACTCAAAATACCCCCCTTAGTCCTCCTTAATTACCTGCTGTCGACCGGTGGTCGCACACTTCCTCGCCCTCGTATACTCTCTTCCCCTCCTCCTCCTCCGTCTTCCACCCCACGCGACCCCCACATCCATACACAATGACCATCATTGATGTCACCAAAGACCTGTCGGCCCTGTTTTCCAAGCAGGTGCAGGCCACTCCCGATGCGCTGGCGCTGGAAGACGACAAGACCACATATACCTACGCAGAATTAGACCGGGCGGTCGACGCTCTGACTCGGCGACTGCATCACTACAGGGTCGGACGGGACACCCTAGTGGGAGTTTTGCTCCCGCGCAGCAGTGACTATGTCATTGCCTGTCTGGCTGCTCTCCGCGCCGGCGGAGCCTTTCTGGTGCTCGAGCTGGCCTACCCACCCGAGCTGCTGGACGATGTGATCCGCGACGGGAACCCCGCCGTCATCATCACCTGCAGGGCCGAAGTTGGCAAGATCAAGGCCGATGTCCCTCTCATCTCCTTGGATGAACCAGCCACGGAGACGAATGGGGTTTCCGATTTGCCTCCCCCGCCCGCAGATGACGATCTGGATCGTTTGGCCTTCGTTTCCTATTCGTCCGGAACCACGGGCAAGCCCAAGGGAATTGCCAACCCCCACAGAGCCCCGGTTCTCTCCTATAACCTACGATTTGGCATGCAGGACCTGACCCCCAACGATCGGGTCGCTTGTAATGTCTTCTTCATCTGGGAGATCTTGCGTCCTCTGTTGCGGGGAGCGGCCGTCGTTGCGGTGCCGGACGACATCAGCTACGATCCCGCCGCCCTCGTCGACCTCCTCGCGACCAAGCGCATCACAGAAACCCTCATGACCCCGACTCTCCTCGCTACCGTCCTCGCCCGTCATCCACACATCGGCTCGCGCCTGCCCCATCTCCGCACACTGTGGTTCAACGGGGAGGTGGTGACCACCGATCTCGCCCGTCGCGCCAGCCAAGCCCTGCCCAACACCCGCCTCCTCAATTGCTACAGTGCCTGTGAAACACACGAGATCGCCTGCGGGGATATTCGGGAGATGCTCGACGAGAAAGCGCTGTACTGTCCGGTTGGGCCCCCGATTGACCCCAAGAACACCCACATTCTGGACGATAACCGGCAACCGGTGGAGAACGGGGTGAGCGGGGAGCTCTATGTGGCTGGTCCACTTTTGGCTCGCGGGTACCTCAACCTTCCCGAGACCACCGCCAAAGCGTTTACAGAGAACCCCTTCGATGCAACTCCGGGGTCCCGTCTGTACCGGACGGGCGATCTCGCTCGCCGGCTGCCTTCAGGCCTTCTCGAAATCACCGGTCGCGTGGGATCCATGATCAAGCTGCGCGGCTACTCGGTGGTGCCCGCCAAGGTGGAGTATGAGATCACCAAGAACCTCGCCGTTCGCCATTGTGCCGTTGTGGCCCATGGCGAGGGCCTGGAGCGACAGTTGGTCGCATACATTGTCCGCGACACGGACCACGCCACCGACCGCCCCGTGGTGGAAATCAATGAGGCGGGCAATAGCCCGGGCGCGCGTCGCATCCTCACCCAGGTCCTGGCACACTACATGATCCCGTCGCTCTGGGTGGAGCTGGAGGAGCTCCCCACACACGATGTGACGGGCAAGGTCGATCTCAAACGCTTGCCTCCCCCACGCACGGCCGACCACGTCAACGGAAACGGCAAGCCCGTTGAAAAGGACTCGATCGGCATCGACCAAGTGGCAGCCATTTGGGCAGTCGCCCTCAAAACCGCGCGCAATCTGTTGAAGCCCAGTGATGATTTCTTCGATCTGGGTGGACACTCCCTGTCGTTGGCGGACCTCTCCTCGCGCATGTCCCGACACTTTGGCTTCCGCGTTCCGATCGCCCGGCTGGCGGAAAACGCCACTCTGGCGGGCCATCTCCAGACCGTTCGTGACATTCGCGACGGCCATACCGCCGCGGTTCAGGCCGATCTCCCCGCGGTTCTGCGGGCCGACGCCACTCTCGACGATAGTATCCGACCGTCCAAAGCGTCCATCCGCTCGGTCACCGACGCAGACACGGTGCTCCTGACGGGAGTGACAGGATTCCTTGGCGCCTTCCTCCTGCACGATCTGCTCGAGAGCACCTCGGCGCATATCATCTGCTTGGTCCGATTCACGGACCCGGCGGATGATGACCAGCCCGGTGGTGTGGCCAGAATTCGCCGAAACCTCTTGGATCTGGGACTGTGGCGGGACTCCATCATGGAGCGCGTTGAGATCTTGCCCGGAAACCTGTCGCGGACCCGCTTCGGCCTCTCCCCAGAAGCCTTCGACGAGCTCGCCGCCCGCGTGCAGGTCATCGTTCATGCTGCGGCCACCGTCAACTTGGTCTACCCTTATGCGGCCCTTCGCGGGCCCAATGTCGGCGGTACGCGAGAAGTCCTCCGCTTGGCATGCAAGGGTGGTGCGACCGTGCAATATGTGTCCACCAATGGCGTGCTCCCACCGTCCGGAGAAAAGGGCTGGCCGGAAGACGCCATGCTCCCGGTGGACGACGTTCCTGACAAGCTGTTGGATGGATACGGCCAAACCAAGTGGGTGGCGGAGCAGCTCGTGCTCGAAGCGGGTCGTCGCGGACTGCCCGTGAAGATCCACCGCGCCGGAACCATCAGCGGCCATAGCCAGACGGGTGCCGCTAATGCCTGGGATCTGTTGTCAGCCTTGTTCGTTGAATCAATTAAGCTCGGCTACGCGCCTGAAGTGGAAGGCTGGCGAGCAGAGATGACTCCCGTGGACTTTGTCAGCAAGGCTATTGTGCATCTGGCCAGCCAGACGCACGCTGAGCAAACCGTGTTCCACCTCGGCGATCCGAACCCGGTCGATACACGGGCAGTCTTTGCATCTCTGAATGAGCTGGGCTACCCGACCAAGTCCCTGGCATGGGATGATTGGGTATCACTGTGGAATGAGAAGCGCAGTGCGGTCAAGGGTGGAGACGGTGGTTTCACCGTTGATATCCTCCGCAGTGGCATGCCCACGGTGGAATTCCTCCGGGGCATCGTCGTGCTGGACAATGCGGCCACTCGTCCTTTCCGGGCGGTCGTGGAACGGCCCAAGGTCGACCGGGCTCTACTGGAGACCTACACGCGGCACTGGTTCGCTCGAGGCTGGCTGCCGCGGCCGCCGCTTCGCCAGCAAGGTCTCAACGGGACCGCGAAGCCTGCCATCAAGGGTCCGCTTAGCGGAAAGGTGGCCGTCGTGACGGGTGCCTCTTCTGGCATTGGAGCTGCAGTTGCGGCTGCTCTGGGTCGAGAGGGTTGCCATGTGGCTCTTGCTGCTCGGCGCCTCGACGCACTTGAATCACTCAAGGGCCGCATCACGGCCCACGGTGGCAAGGTTATTGCCCGGAAGACCGACGTCACGAGCAAGGAGCAGGTGGACGCCCTTTTCCAAGCGGCCAACGACGAACTTGGCCCTGTGGACATTATCGTATCGTGTGCCGGAGTGATGTACTTTACCATGATGGCCAACGTGCAGACTGAAGAGTGGGAACGTACGGTTGACGTCAACTGCAAGGGCCTCCTCCACTGTCTGTCGGCTAGTGTACCTGGCATGCTCTCGCGTGGCGGTGGTCACATTGTCGCGATCTCCTCTGATGCTGGACGCAAGGTATTCCCCGGCCTAGGTGTCTACTCGGCCAGTAAGTTCTTCGTTGAGGCGACGCTGCAGTCGCTCCGCTTGGAGACAGCCGGTATGGGTCTGCGTGTGACCAGTGTACAGCCGGGCAACACGGCGACAGACCTTTTGGGCATGTCCACGGATGCCGAGGCCGTCAAGAAGTATGGCGAGCCGTCCGGCGCACAGATCCTTGAGCCAGACAATGTGGCAGATTCCATTATTTACGCGCTGCGCCAGCCGGCCCATGTCTCTGTCAATGAAGTGCTGATCGAGCCGCGGGACGAGCCGATCTAGAGGAGTGAGCATTGGGTATTTGATTTAGACCTTTGTTATTTTCCATAGACATAGACCTGTCCCCTATGGACATCGCTATAATATGCACGAATGAAATGATTTTTCGGTATAATTTATTTACTGTTTGTATGTAACGTAGGACATCTCAACCATGAGAAATATATTGCTATTTAGAGTACACACCGTCATCAAGTGACTTTCCTCGAACCACAGGTCACTGTACATACATTTGCAACATGCCTGAGATCTGCACCGTGCTTACAGCATGAACAAGACTACCTCAGAAAATCCACTAAAAGTCCCTCGGCCTCTCGTTCTCCTTCAGCTCCGGACAAAGATGATAGATAGGATCCATCTGTTCCACGTACCCACAGGCCGGCTCACTCATGGCATAGCCCATGAACTCCAAAGTTTCCCGGTCATACGTTCGCGCGACATCTGCCGGCACGGCCAGAAACTGGTTCTCTTCCTGGCGCAGGTATCCGCGAACGACGAACGTGGCAAACATCAGCCGGTACTCATCTTCGGTGATGTTCGAACCCCCTCCATGGTATGCCGATGCTAGCATAATGAAGCCATCGCCTTTTTCCATATCGGCGAAGATACATTGCTCAACCTTTGGAGGCGTAGTGCGATCTGTGCCCCTGCTTGGCTGTCAGCCCTAACTATGGAAATCGGTTGGTAAGAGTAAGTTCACCTACCAAAGATGGCTCCGAGGAATAAACTGCGTCCCTCCATTCTCCCGCGTGACGCGGCACCCAGCTACGAAGAGGCCGACAGCAGACTCGCGCTCCACGTCTCGCACATCATCCCATTGCCCGATCTCAGCGTGATAGCGATGGTTAATGTAATCATCCCGATGCAAGGGCTGCGCCTTGGCTCCGGGGCCAATTCTCATGGCCGTGCAAGAGTGCACGTACGGCTTAGAGACAGACATCTTCTTCTCGTTTCCCCACCAGTACCATCGCCTGGAGGTCAGGAAATGGTCGCATACCTGGTGAAAGAGAGGATTCATAACTTGAGTCCTGGTATAGGTCGGGCTATGAGCGATAAGAGATGGGGCGCGTTGGGTTTGTGCTGATCGATGAGCTGTAGCTTCCAGGAAGGAGAGGAAAGACTCGACTCACCCGGGAAGAAAGAACCATTCCATTCTACGTCTGCATCTAAACGAGGTTTGGCTTCTTGGGAGGCTTGGTCGACATCTTCTTCTGAGATGAGGCCCTTGATGAATACACCTCCGTCTCGTTTGAGTAGATAGATGATTTCCTCCACCGGGGTGTCTTTGGACACCTTCTGAACTTCGTCGTTGTATTTGTTGGGATTGAATGGCATGTTGGTTGTGCTGGATGGTACAATGCAAATGGGTTACTACAATTACTCTGGCAATGATCCAGCATATATAGTCATACTTGAACTTTATGTATCTATGAATGAAGTAAAAAGCGGAGTGGAACCCCGCCCGGCGGTGGGAATTACCTAATAGGGAAGTATAGCCAGCCGCCCCGTCATGGATTCATATGGAGCAGCAATTCGCCACATCGCAGCCTGAAGGAGTTTCAGTGCGCCGAGGATCGATTAATGCATGGTTACGATAGGCGAGACTAGTGATTCGAAGTAGTCGAATATGAATGATGGGTATAAACATGCTAATGCAATCTCAGTACCCCCCGGATGCCTCCGCCATCGGCTTAAACTCCACCTCGACAGGCTCATTTCCTATCCCACGCTTCCTGGCGTCCTCCAAAATTGCGACAGTAGCCGTGGCCCCAATGCGAGTAACACCCAGACTCATAACATGCAGCAAATCATCCAACGTACGAACTCCTCCCGCAGCCTTAATCTGCACCTTCTCGCCCGACTTCTCCCGCATCAACTTGAGAGCTTGCACGGTAGCACCCTTGTAATTGTACGCGCCATCCAGCTGCTTCACGAATCCATATCCGGTCGATGTCTTGACAAACGCAACTCCAATCTGAGTACAAATCTCACATAGACGAGCAATATGCTCAGGTCGTAAGTAATCATTCTCGAAGATGACCTTCAAAACAGCCCCATTGGCAACCACAGCCTCATTGATCTGGCGAATTTCCTCCGCCACATAGTCCCAATCCTCCCCGAGGACCTTGCCGACATTGACTACCATGTCGATCTCGGCTCCGCCAGCCTTGGCTGCAGCGGTGGCTTCGAGGACCTTGATCTCGGTGGTACTGTTGCCGTGGGGGAATCCGATGACCGGACAGACCAGAACGTCTGTTCCGGCAAGCTCTTTCTTGGCTAAGGGGATGGCGTAGGGTTTGACGCAGGCAGTTGCGACGTGGTTGTCGCGGGCGATTTTGAGGCCGGCTATGATGTCGGCATCTGTCATGGTGGGGTGAAGAAGCGAGTGGTCGATCATCTTTGCCAGCTGGGGCAAGGTCACTGTGATTTTGTGTGCCATGATGGAATGTTTTTGATGAGATTGTGTTTATCTGTTGTGGAGTGTGTATGTCCGGGGGCGCCTCGTTCTTATACCTGGACCCCGCAGAGGTCTCCGGCGGAAACCCTTCCAGATTCGGTAATTTGTTCCACCGGAGCGATCTCAAGGTTTATCTGCACTCCAACCGGTTATTCCCTGCTCATAATGGCGCAGCAATATTTTTGCTCTCCATCAGGGTATATAATTACCGTGACTTGGACTCGTGTGCTCCCCGTAGAAAGGTGCACCTTCTAGACCCCACATCCAACTCTGCTCCAGGATCGGAAAGGCCTCCGCGGTGGGCCAGAATGACGGGTTTTCTGGGCTGCCATCAGACCCTACTTGGGCTCGAGGGGCATAGTTTGACAGAGCTGTAGACAGAATTAGAATTGATCGAGAAAAGTGTTAGAGAGCAATACCTTGATCAAAGTCTTGAAGGGCGGCCGCGAGAGCAGGATCATGCATGTATTGGGCGGATCTATCTTCAGCTGGGATTTCCGGAGCAACTGAGCCTACGACTGCTGTGGACACCCCAGTAGGATCAATGGCATTGCTTCGAGCTGCTGGTCCATCGGAGACTTGGCCCGAAATTCTCTGTCTTGATGAGGAATTCGTTATTGTCGGCTCACTTGAACGTGCAGTGGTTGCAGAAGTAGACAATTCCATCATTACACTGAGTTCTTTTTCCATGATCAATTTCACCAAGCGCTGAAGGATAGTCAATCCCTGCTGCGCTGCAGCTGAGTGTGTTCGGAGCTTGTCCTGGATGCCGATCAATTTGCGGAGTCCGGACTTGGTCTCGGTAGAGTGTGGACCTAGAGGATCCATGCTGCTGAGGATACCAAGGGTCACGCCTGCTGTAAATGTATGAATGCTAACGAATGAAGCCGCATATGTTTCCGAAACCACTTCTAATAAGGGACTTGACAAAATCTCCGATATGCCGAGCGCTGCATCACGGCAAGCGTTCAAAGAGGCATTCAATGGGTCGACCGAATATGCAGCATCACCATTATACTTGCTGGTTCGCTCTCCAGCGGACAACGTGTAGGAAAGAAGTGGACGGTGCGTGAGAATGCGTGCGTTCTGATACGCAAGCCACAGAGCCAGAGCTTGGAGTTGATAAATATGATTCTCGAAGCGAGGCCCTGAGGCTCCAATATCGCGATCGACTTCTTCGGCAGAGGCATAATGAGACTGGTGAGCGACCCGGCGCCACTGGAGTGGGAGAGGAATCTCTGCTTCCCAATGACGGAGTCGACAGTCGTAGTCGGCAACTTTTCGAACGATTCTTTGGATATCCAATGAATCTGGGTGAGATCGGCTAGCTGCATGCGAACGAACGCGATACAGATCATCCAAGGCTCCCTTTGTGATGGTAGATAGTTTGGTTATGAAGTACTTGTAGGAAAGTAGCGTTGGATCCGACGTCAGAGGTTCATCGAATGAACTTGGAGACTGCATAGTCTGAAGCTTGGCGGATGGATCCAACGGTTCTACGTCGCAGTCATCATCGCGGATACTGTGCGGATACCCATATGCCACGGCAGAAAATGTTTCAATCTCATACACTGCCCACCAGCATCTTTTGCGAGTTTCATTGCGAGTTCGAAAATCAGTCGATTGAACCGGATTCCGTCGGCGGTGTAATTGTAGAGCTTGGGCTATACGAAGCCCACACCCGCATACCGGCCATGCCAGTCGCGGAGCACCATGGTATAAATAATACGTACCGAGTAGAATGCAGGTTTGGACTGCTTCTAAAGAGCCTAAAGACATGATGTCAAGAAGCCCCGATCTCACAACAGAGAGAATGCGATCCCTAAGGGCAATTTCAACCCCAAATCTCGAGAGAATCTCTCGTCGATAGGGCCCGGCGTACTGCAGCCCAATAGCAATCACGATCAGGAAGGTGCTGAGAAAGCCGAGGTGATGGTGGGCGTATCTTGAAGGCCTCTCAGTAGAGCCACCGTACAGTTTGGGCCACCGCTGACGAAACTCGTCTTGATAGAAGACCAACATGAACCAGTGCGCTCGATCGAAATATGTATCTACGAGAAAACTGGCCGCGTCAAAGCTGGGTAGTAGGGATGCCAAGTCCCCCGTAACGGAAGAGGACAGGTCGCAAGGCGCGAGTGCAGTTGAAGAGGAAGGCTCAGATGTGTCAAACTCAACGCTCGGTGAAGCAGATCTAGGCTCTTGCAAGGGGGCTCCCGGGAGTGCGTCCGTTGCAGGTGGCTCCGGTGCGGCCACATTGTGAAGGTTGAATGCCTAATCGAATGGTGGTTAGAGTCGCCCATAGTGCGAGTCATTACGGGGGCCTCACTCCGCCTAGAAGGGACATAGTCGAGCTTGATATCCAATCACGATCCTTTCGGTGCGATGGTGTCCCTGGCGTTGGAGTCTCGACAGGACGTTGGCCAGAACCGATGGCATGGGGTGAACTCGCATGGCGTCTCGGGGCACTTGTATTTGGTGTCTGGACCCTTGGTGACGCGGGCGTATCCTGCGGATGCCGGTAGGGTCGCCAGCGGGTTGCCGAACCGGGAAGACAGCGGACCCCAGCGCGGGTGCAGAGGGTACAAGGCCGTTGGATGTCGCACTATCGAAGGGTGAGCGGATCAACGGGCGTTCCAGAGCTTACTCGTTTCAGCGAACCTTTAGCTTCTGACGTCGACAGCGCTGGCATGCGCTGGGGACTTTGGTGGCGGGACTGGCCCTCGGACTAGGGGTTTTCTCCATGATGGAGGGATGCAGAATAATTGTAAGATGAAAGTTGAAGCATGAAGATTGAAGAGGCAGAGAAAGTGGAAGAGTTGCCGAGAGGAGCAGTTTTCCCCACCGGAAGAGCCTTCCCAATGAGGAAATAATTGGTCCGTGCACGTGGCTCATCTCGGTTTCGATGCTACGGAGTATACTGGTGATCTATCTATACCTCGTTTCATGATAGTGTGTAGAAAATTAGATACAAAGAGGTTGGTGTCACAAGGCTTGGTTTCGCAATATACATCCTTCGGAACTGAAATGTGCTTGCTAAGACAATTATCTTAACCTCCCAGCGTGGACTGCTCCCTGTCAAACTGCATACCAATTAACTCTTTCCGACATTTAGACGAACATGATTGAGTATTTGCAGGATCCGATAGCGAGTGAAATGCGTGGAACTCGTGAGCGGTTAGAAGTCTGACCCATTGTTCATCACATTATTCAACGCTTCGATGATGTCTCTCCGCGAGTCGTTGGGACTGTTGCTGCTATAGAAATCTAGCGCTTCTTGGTAAAGGTCCAGGTGCCCATCATGATACCCTCGAGCATCCTCCATGATCTGCTCATACACAGTGATGTTCCGTTCACGGTACCGCCCTTCATCAGTGCAATCCCACAACGTCAACATGCCATCCGTGGTTTCCCCAAAGATGTTGTATCGGGCATAGATGGCATCTCCGTATCGCTGCTCTGCAATGGCGGTGCAGTACTCAGTGGCCCATGGTTCCACCAAGTCCCAGGCAGTTCGATTGAGCACCTCCGCAACGGGCAAATCGAGGAACAGCTGCTCAGGAAGGCGACTTTGTCCGGCAGCTGCTGCTGTGATCAAGGTCGATATAATCAGAGCAAAACGTTGGTGGAAATGCATGTCAATTGCAGTGTAAAGGGAGCGATTTGACTTTATTTGCATTCTGGAGCAAGTCGAGGAACTCAACTTTGCGACCGCGGAATTTAAGCCAAGCCTACTTTTAGGCTGCCACTGGTGGTTGCCTAATCTTCTGAATTCGTTTCATCGCTATAACACTTTCATCCAGCAGGTCAATATGAGCATCTAACACTCGGTTTCATACAGTTCGACATTTTGCCGCGCCTGGAAGAATAATTCCCAGTTCCATAAGTGAAGTGACGCGTGATATACCCTCGCCAGGATGGCCAGATGCGCTGGACCGGAAAGCGAATGTTTCTGATCCGTGGTCGCGCTAGTCCAGACACTCAATAGATCCCTTGGCTGGCATTTGCGATCCTGAAATTATGCTCACATACACGAGGTCCAAGAGTGGGATTAAATAGCCCGACCGTGCCCTAGACACGGCCACATACCGACCGCGAGCGGAGGAGAAGAAACACAACATTCCTCACGCTCTACTTAATGGCTCGTGTCTCCCCACGATGGTGTGTAGAATAGCTGTTCCCTGACGTCTTCCAAAATTACACCAAATCTCTCATTATCCACTAGTCATGCGTGTGGTTGCCATTGTCACCGCGCTCATCTCCCTTGGTACCCTGACAGCCGCCCAGGCCGTCCGGCGGGGAGGCCCCGATGAGTTCACTGAGCTCGGCTGCCCCGACACCACCAAGCCGGAGGCCTCTCAGGCCGAACAGCTGGCCGCCTGGGACGACTTCACCAACTTGCTTTACACAGAGAAGCGCCTCACCGACGCCTTCACGAAATATGTCGCGACCGGCTACATCAATCATTCGCCTCTGGTGACTGGAAATGATATCGACACTACTCTGGGCGAGTTGTCCGCTATTGTCCCCAATGTGGACTCTCAGTTACAGCGTGCGTTTGTCGGATGGGATAAGGACGGCACTGCATATGGAACTGCTCATACCAAAGTCATTGGTAATGCGACCATGGGGATCCCCAATTCGGCCCTGGTGGACATGATCCGCATGGTGGGGACGTGCTTGGTGGAACATTATGACGTGCAGCAAGCCGTGGATGGCACTGCGCCGAATCCTATCGCTTTCTTCTAAAGGCCTGAGCTACATCTATCACGTTGGTGAAACCCATTGAAATTACGAGACCCGACTGCAAATACAAGTTTCTGTACGATGAAAGTCAGGGTGGCACATGTGAAAGAGGACTATTCGGAAAGTGGAAGGAATGTCATGTATCATAGGACTTTCTCCCCCTAATTGTATTCCTACATCCTACAATCTTTGAGATGTGGCACTGCATATAACAAGTCAGGAGGTCTAGGGTTCAACAAATGGCTGTCCTGAATGGTATAAGTTCGGATATCCTATCCGAAACCCGAGCGCATCACCAACTGCCTTGCTTGCCAATTTCGGTGAGCCGAGAACAGGTTGTGCTTTGTAGGGCAGCTGTGCTTATCAACCAACGTCTCTCATGCAATCCGCTCTTCACATGAACACAGACAGTTAGGCAGAAGTGGAGCTTCAGGATGGGAAAGGATCTCCTATCCATCCACTCCGAATACCCCGCGCGGGGTTGTGTAGTCGCAATAAACCCTCGGCTTGTCTCGTTCCCGAGCCATAAATCCGTGGTTCTCTCTGATCAGTCGGATCCATCCTCATAACCTCAGCACTTATAACCGTCTACATAAAAACAATATGGCAGTCGAACAGTGGGAGACAATTGTGCAGCGGAAGCAGGCTGACGCAGCCGCAAAGATCCCCCAGGCATGGCGACTACCGGCTGAGTTCACGGAAAATGTGTCCGAAACAACCCCGACCAATGTGCTCGATGTGCCTCGCAAATGTGGCTTGTTGTCTGCAAGGCAACTGGAGATCACTGAGAACTATGACGCCACGGCCTTGCTCGAGCAGATACACTCCGGGAAGTATACCGCCGTTGAAGTCGCCGAGGCGTTTTGCCTTCGGGCGGCTATCGCACAGCAAGTGGTAGGAGAAATAGCTCGATAGTTGATCGTGATGGTATACTTACGGTCAGATATAGACGCGCTGTTTAACAGAAACCTTCTTCGATCTTGCTTTGGAGCGAGCAAAGGAGCTGGACGAGTACTTCCAGTCTACGGGCAAGGTCCGCGGACCGCTGCATGGTTTGCCCATCAGTCTTAAGGTAGATCAACTGTTGCCAGAACAATAACAGCTTGAAGATTGACATTGCCAGGACTGCTTCAACGTTGCAGGCGTCCCCAGCACCATCGGCTTCACTGCCTTCGTCGCACACGGTCCCGTTAAGAACAATTCTTCCGTTGTCCAGATCCTCCTGGACCTGGGCGCGGTGCTCTATGTCAAGACGAACATCCCACAGACAATGATGGTATAATGTCTTCCATTGCTACTATCACAGAAGGCTCACAGGATCCAGGCAGCCGACTCCCACAACTACGTCTTCGGTCGCACCCTCAATCCCAACCGAACCAGCCTCAGCGCCGGCGGATCATCAGGTGGTGAAGGTGCTCTAATCGCCATGCGTGGCTCAATCTTAGGTGTAGGCACCGACATTGCTGGCTCCATCCGAATTCCTGCAATCTTCGACGGAACCTTCGCCCTACGCCCATCCATCCACCGCATTCCCTACGGAGGCCAGACAGGCTCCGGCCGAAAAGGTCTCGCGGGCATCCGACCCTGCGCCGGCCCACTAGCGACCTCAGTGCGCGACCTCGGTCTATTCATGAAACTGGTCGTGGGCGCCGACCCCTGGCAATACGACTCGTCGACCATATTCAGCACCTGGCGTACCGCTCCCCGGAAAGAAACCCTCCGACTCGGCTTCATCCTCGAAGACCCCCACTTCCCCGTGCACCCTCCCATTCTCAACACCCTGACCCGCGCAGTCGACGCCCTGAAAGCCGCCGGCCACGAAGTCATTAACCTAACCACCCCTTCCCTCAAAGATGCCCTCCTTCTCGGCTTCCGAACCTTCGCTATGGACCCGGCTCGAACCGCTTTCAGCCACATCGCTAAGGGCGGCGAGCCACGCATCCCTGCTCTGGCAACTGTCAATCTACCAAGCGCAGATTTGCCATATGAATGGGCCCCGCATACGCTCGAGTCTCTCTATGATTTGAACGTACAGCGGGAGACGATCTGCGAGCAGTTCCGACAGCTGATTGTCCAGAACAAGATCGACGCGATCATTATGCCAGGATATCAGGGCACCGCGGTGGCACATGATGCAGTGGGATGGGTGCCATATACTGTTTTGGCTAATGTTTTGGATGTAAGCCAAGTGGATCCCGGGTAAAGGTGACTCGACTGACAACTGCAGTATCCGGCTACGATTATTCCTTACAGAAAGGCGAACAAGGCTGATGACGCCAAGTATGTCAGGGATGTGACGTACCGACCTCCGTGTAAGTTCTTCCCTATACACCCATTCAGACCGTTCTAACCCTTCGCAGACGTTGCAGATGATGTTGAAGGAGCGCCATGCTGTGTGCAGCTTATGGGAAGAACAATGCACGAGGAGGAGCTCCTGCGGGATACTGCGACCATTGCCAATGTTCTGGGGAAATAAAGTGAACAATTAGGCAAAGGGTATAGCATACCTAGAACTGGACAATCCAAATTACATTATTTTGAACAGTAACAACTTGTAATTCTGAATCTTGTTCTTTCAGTAATAATTCATGCTCTCAAAGTAGAGTTGATAATACATATAACACATCAAATCGAATCTAGTACAGGGGCAGCTTGTACGCATCAAAATCATACACCCAAGTCTTGTACGACTCTTCATCAAACACACAGTCCATGACGGTGCCATTGTTCTTCCACAAGGGGCGCAAGGGCCACGCGCACAACTGCTGCTGCTCACCCTTCCGCTCACCAGCCAGCACGGTGGCGTTCAATCTCGTCGGGAAGACGCCTCCCTCGACCCACTGGATGAGCGTCTCGAGGGTGGTCTGCGGGAAGGGGCCATTAGGCTGGGTAGTACTAGACGCACAGTGCGCCGCACCAGGGATCAGATACAATCGGTTCCACTCATTCAAAGCCTGGGAGCTCTCGTTGAACGACATGCCGGGATACATGATCTGGCGGACGGATTCGTGGTAGTGCACGGACGAACCGGTCGGGATACTGGGGTCGGACTCGCCATGCACGTGGATGATCTTTCCTCCCGCCGATTGGAAGGGTGTCAAGTCGGGCCAGGTGGTTTGGAGGCTGTCCTCGTAGCGCTGCCATCCGAGCTCCATCCACTCCTTCAAGGTATCGTACGTGACGTTATCCAGGCTGGAGAGGTTGTCTGCATCGCGCAGTTCCAGGAAGCGGGCGACCCATTCACCGCCAAGGGAGGTGATATCCAACTCCCACTTTCCGGTGTCATAGTTGTACTGGGTCTGGGCATCATCGAACGTGGAGGAGGGTTGGTACCAGATGTAAGCGCGGCGGCCGTCCAGGGTGTGGAGCCCATCGAGCATCTTGCTGGCAGCGGCAGCTCCGATAGCAGAAACAGTACCGTTCTGCGCGGGGGTGGTGTTGGACATCGAAGTGCGCTTCTTAAGGACTGTAGTGGTGGTAGATGCCGGGCAGGAGTAAGGGGCGCCAACGGTCGAGTTGACATTGAAGTGCAACTTGCACAGGTCAGTACGAGCCACCACACCATCAACACGGCCATCCAGGGCATCGCAGGCCGCAATGGTCAAGTTGACAATCTTTTCCAATTCGCAGGTAGGAGGATAGTAGCCCAGAGTGTGCTCAACCACATCAGGGTAGAGGTGATTCACTTGTTGTTGGCCGTACCGGAATGCGGGGGCACCGATAACGGCTCCATCCCACTGGTCCGCATAGCGTTGCACCTGACTCCAACCTTCGCGGCCACCCTCTGAGCAACCTTGGTAGTAGGCGTAGATCTTGGAGTCACCCAGACTGTAGAAGTTGCGGCTGAAGGCTTTTCCGACGATTGTAAGTTCGTGATGAGCGAGGTAGCCAAAAGAATACAATGCCTCGTAGTTGATGGTGCCGTTGGCTTCGAGGAAAACGGCATCAAATTCGGTATCGAATCCTCCAAAGCCACCATCCGTGATACCCGCAGCAGCTCCATACATCACACCACCGGGAAGGGAGCTGGTGCCGGAGTTGATAGCGAAGCCTCCACCGCCCGTGGACAGCCACCGGTTTTGATAGTCCTCGGGAGCGGGCAACCAGAGCTCCAACAGCAGGGGAGTATCCAGACCCGGCCGGGTGTATGAGAGGGTCACGTTGCAGTAACTGTAGGAGGCGGCAGGGAAGAAGTAGCTACCCGACGTGGAAGCATTGTAGACAGCACTGGCGGTGATGGATGAAGTGTCGATCTCGAGACCTTCAATTTCATCACTGCTGGGCAGGGACGACTTTGCATAACTAGTGGTACAGACATCCGCCAAACTGGCTGCTTGGGACAGGGCAATGGTCGTGGCCCCGGCTAGGACCCCGAGAGCAGCTCTCATGATGAGTGGGGTCTTTGTATGTAATAGAGAGGGAGAGAAAGTGTAGGTTGAGAAGTAAGTCTTAGAAGCCCGCCTGGTAGAAAGGAAGCAGCCGAGATGACGCCGGCGATGCCACTACTTATGATGTTCTCGATGCCTTGGTTCCGTGATCAGCTCAGTCGTCGTTCGGAAATTATTGTTTGGAGTAAAGGCCAAGGATCCAATCGTCATCAAGCCAGAGGTGCACGAGAAGGCCGATCCAGGCTCCCTTGGGAAAGTTGGATGTTGATCTCGCGTTTCGTGTATTGAACCAAGCTTCAACCGGGTGATTTACATTCAAAGGAGTGACGCTGTGGCTCCCGTCCCTCACATAATATCCAGGACAATGGCGAATAAGGTGTTCGGGATGAACTGTGGAAGCCACATTCAATATCATACAGTTTCTTCAGGTTGGCCTAGAGATATGCTCGGAACGTTTCCTACCACCAATGAAATCGGTCAATTATCGATGTTACCCCACTCAGATTGATGGCCAAGACGCATGCCTTGACATCTTGAGCCAACCGCAACCAAAGTGGATGCTACTAAGAGCGCTGCAACAACAGGCATTGCGTGTATCCCTCGACGGGGTGCGTACGAAGGATTGCAATATAGGAGGATCGACAGAGCGACGGGAGAAGTGTTATCCCCACAAATCAAGGGTTTGGAATAGAATCTTGGCAAACTATCTCGGAGGTTGGCTACAAATGCAGTCAGTGGTGTTGTTCTGTGTGCTCCAAGAGCGTGATAAGGTCTTGCAATTGACCTTCATCCTTCTGGTAGAATAGATTGCCAAAGTAATTGTGGAAGATCTTCAGAGTGATTCATAGCGATGCAAATAAGTAACGGCTTGCATGAGCCTGCAGAAACGACCCCTGAGTGTCTGGAAGCCGAGAATGTTGACATGGAGGAAGTCGGGGGAAACCGACTGAAATGGGGAATCTCCGCCGACCTCGGCTCCAGCTGCCCCGGCCGGTGTCCGGAGCCGGACCAATCCCGTGATTGCGGGTGGTTCCTCCGGCTTTCGCTCGCCGGTCTGGTGCCGACATTCTCCCTTCACAACACCACTCACTACTATCATGGCAAACCACACTCCTGACCCCGAGGTGCTCCCGTCCATCCCTTCTATCGGCCCGTCCCTTAATAAGCTCTCATCGTATCCCGTGCTCGTATCGAGTCCTGCCTTTCGTCTATACGGCTTATCGCTCTTCCTCTGCTGAGCTTAGCAATCCCGCTCTGTCCGGTCGCGCATTGAATCTATTATCCTCCAGTCGGTGCTCTGAAGATGGTACATGCTCGCTGGCTGGCAGCCCCACTTCCCAGCTCGTCTGTCCTACCATGGTGGATCCGCGTGGTCTGACGGCGTGGAGTGATGCCTAAAAGCTAGTTTCTGACCCTCTTACGAATTCGATAACCTTGAGGGTCCGGCTGCTCATAGGTGCAGGGGACGGGGATTCAGCACGGCGGGGGTCCCCTGCTTGGTATCGAAACAAACGGGTGATTATCGGCTGAACACTAGACTTTGATGTTGGTGAATCTTCACTTGCTGCGATAGGAGCAGCTGCCATCAGCCAGACGTTGCTCTCTGAGTCGCGACTTCGCATTGCGAATTTCAGGCTCCGCTTGTCAGGCTGGAATTCCCCGGTCCCCGCATTCTATACCGTTGGGGTGATGCCTTATTCTCCGAAAGATTGCGGGATTTCGGGATAAATATATAACCACCCGCCTGAAGGTATATTGTTGATGGAGTATGGAGTGCTAGTAGTCCACATTTTAAGCATGAATTAGTCCCTTACTGACGTCAATTAGATCGTACAACCAATCATTCTCTCAGTGCGGTTATTTACTTATATACGAGGCGCTCGGAAATTCCCCGTTGCGAATGCTAACATCGTCAATATCTCCTTATTTGGCTCCGTTACGTAACCAACTATCCGGGTTGCATACTAAAAAGGTTGGAAGGCTTCACAGTTCTATAAATCACTTTCTTCTATCGCCGTACCTATGAGCAAAAAGCAATTTGAATGTGGTCACGAGTGAACGTGTAATTTGCCTCTACATTCACCGCGAAGAGGTAGGTTCATATATGGCGCCGATCGCAGACAAGCAGTCACAATACATAAAGATTCCAGTAAGCCTGGAATCAGCGGGCGTTCCAGAAACCTTTTCAATTCGTCGCTGCTCGGAGATCTCAGTTGCAGTCTCAAGGTTGGCTGGTGTATCTCCCCAGTAACGATGCTGGTCATACTCGAAGGGCTCACGGTTGGGGTCTCTGAGGCTGAGACGTCGAACCGTCTTCTTCTGTTTAACCTCAAACTGGATCTCCACTAGTGCAGTGCCGGATATCTTGGTTGAGAAGCCGATGATAGCATCATCTTTGAAAAAATACACACTTTGACGTGACATGCAGTCACGTATATCACCAACGGCGGCTTGATGGGTTGACGAGTAGGTAAACTCCAGTCCACATAATTGTCTGTCGTATATATAGGCTGTTGCCTGGACTATCTTCTTTCGCCGAGCATAGCCTTCTTGACCCTCAAAGTAAAGCTTCCTTACCCGATCATATGGCGGAGAGGGAGTTGGTTCGAGTGTTCGAGGTCTCTGATTTCTGTATGGGGAGATGACTGCGCGGATCCGATCCGAATTTGCGCTGACTACCCATGAGATAGCCGTCAGCTCCTCGTCAGTGTCACTCAAATATTGAGACTGTATGGCTGCGCCGGAGTGAAATATTTGAGTAGCAAACGTCGCTCTGTTCACCCCTGTGTTGATCCATATAGCTGCAATGTTGCCTGTACTCGACTCAGGAGACTGGGAAATCCAAGCATCCAGGCCAACCCATACAGTGATCGATCTGATTTCTTCACCTGGAGATAGTTTAAGGGCTACATTGCTTAGTGGACGTATCCACTGCCCAACAACGCTTGGAGTGGGGTGGTTATAATACTCGATTTTCATACCAGTGATCCAATGCTTAGAGCGGAAATAGCCCCTATCACCTGTAGATGCGGTGATCCTGCGAACTCCATTGAGTGATGCATAGGTTTGGTAGTATTTCATATCGTCCCTTTCGCCACTATCTTGGCGCAACATCAGATCATATTGTACCTGATCTTCCGGGACCCGATGGCATTCAGCGTTCAGATTGTGCGGAATGGCGGGTGGGGCATCGCATTTTTGAGAGTGAATTCGAAGTTGATCGAAATACTTTCTGTATGCCTGTTTCTATTCAGCGAGTATCTGGACGGATTGAGAGGGTTCTACTTACGGCTGGCTGAGCAACGAGTCCTGTGATGGTATGTCCCGTTGGCACACCTGGTATCATTCGGGCGGATGCATTCAGATGATAGACGAGGGGGGCAAAAGTGGCAGTTCGTCCATAGTTGGTCGAGACCTAGACCGTGGTCAGCATTGTGGAGAAAGTCTGGAGACGATGTAATATGGACCTCAAGCCCGACCAAGCGAACGGCTCGGTTGTGATAGCGGTTATCCCTCAGAATCCTTATTTGCGTGACACGCTCTCCATTCGGGCCATCTATGGGAAGTGACATGACATTCTCACCAACAACGCCACAGCTCAAAACTTTGCCGTCAGAGTAGTGTGCGACCATTCCAACAAGCGGATGGCGGTAAAATCTCATATGGAATTCAAGACAAATTAACTTCTCGAGACCTCTACCTCCACGGAAGCCAAAGTCAAAATGCAATAGTGGATTGAAGGGTCCAGAGGGCCTGCAAGGGAGCAAGGGGCTTATGATTGAACTCCCGTATAGTGGAACAGGTGGCATCCAGAGATGAGAAGCCACACGTGCATAGCGCGTTATGGCTGCGGAAGAACGGGGTGGTCTCGAACCACGCTCACCGGGTTCAACCATTTCGCCAAACCCAAGTGCAACAATTTTGAATCGGTCCAGGCCTGCTAGTAGATAGTACGGCACCTTTCCACTTGGAACCAATAGTAAGCCGCGAGCTAACTTCTTGACGTTAGGCTGGCCAACCCAGGCAGACTCTCTCGAACCAGTGTATAGTATACGGATAGCCTTGAGCCCTTCCGGAGAGAACAGTACCTCGAAAGCCCTGATGCGTTTGTACCTGTCTATTTCAATCCATTGTTCGGTATCTGGGTTGGGGTATCCAATTGATTGACTGATTCCGCTTCCATCACTTGAGGGGAACAGTTTGATACCAGATATGAATTGATTTGTACCAAATTCGACAGTCGAAATACCAACCCGGAGTGGACGACAATCCCGCAGGGCCACGGATAACTGTGCCTTTCGATAAAGTAATTCACATTGATCTTGGACAGGATAATCTCTCTCGGGCGATGTTACTTGGCCAGAGAAAAAGGCCGTGACTTTTGCATGGTGATTGCCTCTCCTTGAGATCGCTATATTCACTAAGACAGGAACATTGCGTTGAGATTTCACCAGAAAATAGCTGAAACCTTGCCCACCATTCCGTTTCGTTGGCTCTAGTTCGACAAGAGATGCAATAGGCTCCAATAGTTCGCAGATTTCCTTTCTGTGGGCTAGGGCTCGCGATGAGCCATATGAAAATGCCTTCATAGCGGAGTAGATCCTGAACCAATTCCGTGGGGTGCAGAGGTCGAGGAAAATATAATAAAACTCCTGGCCAAGCATAAATCTACTCCGCCAGAAGGACTGAGGAAGCTGTTCGTTACTTGCCAGCCAACCTAGATATCGGCATGTGAGTCTTAGTTTGAGGACATCGCGGATGTCTAGATAGGTAAGGACCTCATATATCGTTTCCTCTGGAAGCATTCTGAAGATACCGGCCCCAGACTCACTCCAATTTGCTTGTGTCCCCGTCTCATAACTTGAAGAATACTCGCTGTCACTTTCCAGCGTCATATCCTCTGGCTGAGTGGTGTCCCGTCCATAATGCATTTCCGCATACACACCTTCCCTTACTGTTTCCAATACTTCCAATTTGGGAAGTGCATTCGGGTCAGCGGTTTTATATATCCACCTACTATCGTGCGGACCGGGGGCTTTGGGAGCAGGACTGTTGTGCAGTTGAAAGAAGACTGACCTCACGATGGTTGCAACATCGATGAAGGCATCACCTAGGCGGAGCCTCTGTAGAAGGAAGTTCCAACATACATCGTGAAATGCAAAACACCACCAAGTCGTCGAAAAGTCGCGGATCGCCCATAAGTTAAGGGCATTGAAGTCGTCCACCTCGAAATAGGCTTTGTCCGGGTCGATTGATGCGTGAAGAATATTGTCGTGGCGTATCACGCCAACCCCAGTGACCGCGATTTGGTCCAAGTCACCGTCGACTGCATAAAGACCCCGGACTTCTGGGAACCAAGGACGAGTCCTCCAACGCCAAGGCCCTGGATGGTTTCGCTCCCAGTCCTGCTCGAGAAAGGTCTCACACAGCGGGCAGATCAGTTTGAGCGGCATGGTCTTTTTGGTATTAGCACGGTGAATGTCCCGAACAGATATACCAGAGGTCCAAGTGCAATTCGTAAAGACTTCAACAGATGATGCAATTGAATGATCCCCGAGTTGAGCTATGGAGGGTCACTGAGGAAAAGAAAATGCAAGAGAAACGGGCAGGAAGAGGGGTATTTAAACTCAGTCGCATCAACCATAATCTCACTCTTTCAGAGGAAAAGTCCAATTGCTTTGTTCAGATACGCCGGGGGAAAACGTCACGGCCTCATCGCTACCTAGCCGTGTCGACTGGTGAAGCCCTACAATTATACGTGTAGTCGGAAGTTTCATGGCTATCTGATGCCTTTAGTAACCACACGCGCTTCAATATAGCCGTTCTACCCGAGAGATGACGTTGACTGGACAGCGCCTAGCACTTCATGAAGGAAGATTCCCTGGTTCTGACTGTCAATGCGACAGGAGACATGCGCTGACTTGCGCCCAAGCGATCTGAATATCAGAATGCACCGATAATGTATCACCCAAAGCCGCGGCAGACCCCACCTGAGGATGAAATATTGGGCATGTCTGAGGGCCCATCGTCTGGCCGGCTACCAGGCTGCAAGAGATTCGTACGATGGATGCCTATCTTTCAGCCATTTATGCCATTATGGGTTGGCCTGTATGAAGTAATCATGAAGTGCCTTCGCATGGACTTCTTCATATCGATTTTATTCATTCACTCTAATATCTGTGCTATATATGCGACACTGTATCTTTTCATACTAAATTTTTGGCTCGTTAACTGAGGAAAACCATGACCACTGCTTCCGAAAGATCCCTCAAGACCAACCTCGCTTACCTGTATGCAATACACATGACCGAGAGTAACAGCACCGACAATGATATCTATTACATCTGGCAGGCGATAGCATTAGACTGGTTCTGCGTCGAGCGTCACCACGAGTAGTTCTGTCAAGACGTGGCACCCATTAACAATCACATGCCTGGCCTTGCTATTATCCAATCAATGCCCCCAGAAGCTCTTAAGAGCCCTTCGCTCAGGCCGCAGATATTTACCGTCAGATGCAAGGGTCGACCCGCAGAGACTAGAGACTGGTGCAATGGTATATCTGTGCATCAGTTTGTGGAGGACCTTCGCTGCATTGTGAAAAACGAGACGGGAAAGATTTATG